TGACGGCCTAACCATCCATAAGTTCAGTTTGCTCAAGTGTCAGAATTTATCTGCTTGTGTCATTTGTACTGCTGATGAGAAATGGTTTCAAGACTGGTTTAAAATAAAACTTCAACTTCTGTTTCCTGATAAATAATTCTACACATTGAAAGCACCATAAAACTCACACCAAAAACTTTTAGCATGCATCTGTGAGGAAACACACTTTCAAAACCATAAAAGTAATGTGATCAGTTTATGTCCATTTTCTGATTTTTACTTGATACCATGATACAGCTGAATCTTTAAATTGGCCATCAGATACGTGGCCTTTGCAGTGGAAACCATGACCCTGTTGTTGATTTTTACTTTGTTAGTTATTCATGCTATGATGTGGCACTCACCAGAAACTGGGTTTCTGTTTTCATTATCTCTCGCAGTGTTTTCCATGTTAAAACATTTGCATGAGCTTTTTTTTTTTTTAAAGTTCACCACAGCATGTATTATTGTGAATGCAGGCTAAACTGGTCCGATACTGATTCCAGTAAAACCAAAGAAATGTTGAGTTTATTTAGTCATGACAAGTCATGGCAATGTGGTTAGTTTTGTGTTTTTATAACCATCTAACACCAAATCCAGTCTCAGAGAAGTTTGGAAAAAAGAAGACACAACCTCCAGTCTATTAAGTTGTGTTTCTGTACTTAAAGTGTTCTTCTTCTTCTTTCCCAACCTTATTTTGATGTCCCTAAACATGTTTTTTATTAGTTCGGTCTCATCTGGTACTGATTTTTGTTCATTGTCATTCAATTAATATTTTCCACATTTAAAAACTAAAGGTTGGAGTTGTTTCATATTTTTCCATACGATTAATTAATAATACATTGTTAATTAGCATTAAATGCTAACTTGATTAGCTTTAGGATATAAAAACTACTCGGTTAGGGATAGAAAAAAAATCATGCCCTTTTATTCTTGTTTATGCAAATATCTAGTCCCATGGCAGGCATCTAGTGCATTTAAGCATAGAGAGATGACCTGAAACCGAGCATGAGAATGTGGAAAAAAGGTCATTTAAGTGACTTTGAATGTGGCATTGTTGTTGATGTCACGTAGGCCGGTCAGAGTATATATGCAGAAGATCGGCTCTGACAATAAATTCACTTTACTCAAATGGACTCCATAGTCACCAAATCCCAGTCCCATAGGGCACCTTTGGGATGTGGTGAGATGAGATGTGAGATTCACATCATGGATGAACAGCCAAAAAATCGGTAGCAATTGTGTGACGCCAGTGCGAACCAAAATCTCAGGAGAATGTGTCGAGCGACTCGTGGAATCTATGCCATGAAGAAATAAGACTGCTCAAAGCCAGTATTATCAAGACAAAGCGTAACTAATGACATGGCTGATGAGTGTATGCTTCCTACTGAAATACGAGAGTTACAAAATTGTGTTGATTGTCCTGAAAATATGTGTCTACCAATACAAGCAAATACAGTGTTTTTCTGTACATATTTTGGACTTTTACAGAGAGTGGGCTCAGAATTCACTGGCGTCATCATTGAGCTGATCACTTAAGACTGTAACACTTCTCTCTTAAATAATGTAGAGAAGAAACTTTTTGCTCAGCTTTTCTCAGCAATACATAAATAATATGTAACACACAAAACTGTAAATGCCTTATGTCAATGTGCAAATGAAGCAGAGAAGCTACCTTGACCATTCCATGAATGACAAGACGGTATCCCTCTCTGCAAACAAATCAACAGAAAATTAATGAATTTATGCTCTTAAAATGGAAAACAAAATAGAGAAAAAGACCCAAAAGACCCAAACTTTTCACTTACATATGTCATATTCGTAAAAACAATGTTTATTTTGTCTGTGAGGTTGGCGATAGCAGCTCCCATTTCAATGGCTAAAACTTCATTCCCTAAAACAGTACTGTTCTTCTCATCCTGAAAAATCAACTTATGGTCAATCCATCACTGAACATGAAATTTTACATTTGAATTAGCCTGTAGCCCCTTACCTTAGCCATATTAATAAATCGGAAAAGAGCTGCAAATGGGATACTGACGTTTTGAGCGATAGCTTTATCAAAAGCTTCTTTTGGCAGCATAACGGCTCTTGAAAATGTTTTCAAAGTTTCTGTGTTGTCTATAATCTGCAGGAAAGAACACAGAAAGAGTCAGGCTCAGTGCATATTTACCTGGATCTTACTCAAAATACCACAAAAATCTGCAATGTGATGCCCAAGTAAGCGGTAACTTGAACATACTGTAATAACTACATAATAATCTTAACTGTTGTTTTTAGTTGCTGTAACTGTTTCAATTGCACAAAAAAATCTATAATAAAAAGGAAGTCGTAGGATTGTACATGCAATTATGGACAAAGGCCCCTTCCAGTTTGTAGGTGTCATGATTTCTAGGTAAATCTTAAATCGAAGCAATGACATTTTGGGAACCCGCTACTGCTGGGATTTTAGTGGAGGAAATGCTAGGACAGAACAATAGAACGTGTAAAAGTCAAAATAAATTTAATTCCACCTACATTTATGCTGTCATTTGGAGACTGATAAGCAAATAATACTTCTTCTACTTCGTCTTTATGTGTTTCTTTCACCAAAACTCCTTTGACTCCTTCTCCTACAGATATTTCAGCTGAAGATCCATTTATGTTGGCGGCCAAGTTGCTCATGTCATTCATTAGTTTACTGCAGACAGATGTGAGAACATTTCTATATTATACTATAAATGTAAGATGCTGTACGTAAAACCAGTTTTTAAAAAAACATGTTTTACAGTGGGGGGGGGGGGGGGGGGGGGGGGGGGGGGGTTAAATGTCAAAAACCAAATTAAACTTTTCAGCATTTTCCTTCTGGGGAAAATAATGTAGGAGTTTTTCAAAGCTGCTAGAATGTCTTACACGTAAGTTGTTTTTTGGCAGCAATGTGTGACGCACAGTTTAATTGTATTAGTGAGATATGGAGATCACTTTCAACTCTTCAGTTCAATAGTAAGGTTTACTGATCCTGAGCCCAGTAGGTAGTAGTGCCTAAATCTAAGTAGCAAGTGAAAGCAAAACTAGACAGTGAGTGGAAAATGAGAAAAACCGAGTGGAAAACTCAGATTTAGATCTTCTAGATATAGATCTTCTTAAATAACTCAATAGAAAATAAATGACGAATACATGCAGTATATCATTTGGTAAGTGAGTGTGTCTTACGCGGCATTTGCAGGAATAATTTCTCCTCCTTTTTCAGAAAGTGTTGTATTAAGTACTTTTTTCTCCTCAGGCTTTTTCACTGGATTGTTACAGTTTATACAGTTGGTGGTTGTTGAGTTTATGTCGATTATGTATTCATTCCGGAGATTTGGAGCTGGAAGGTGGAGAATTTAGGTTTAAACTTAAGAACTCAACATTTAACAAAATATAAAGAAAGGTGTTATTTTACTCTCAGCATTTTACTTATATGAATTTTATTTAATCAAATTATGGCGTAATGCAAAGACTCTGTTAGGCAAGATTTGTCCGATTCATTGTGCACTCATCAGGAAAAATGACTATTATGAAAGTGTGATACTTGCCTGCACTTATCTAAACTTACCCATGGTACTGCATTCTTTTTTACCATAGGCAGAGTTTTTACACACCGTGTCTGTATTGATACATCTGATGTGACATAACTCTTCAGCATTATTTTGTCAGATTTTACCACCACAATCAGAGAAAGAAAGGCAGGAGAAAAAAAATTAACATTGCATTCTAATCCTTATTTTCAAGGTTTCAACTTTTAAATGTTTCCTATTAGCTCTGCATTTTATCTTTTCATTGATATGAATTTACCTGTGTCTGTGGTATTGAAGCTACAGTTTTCACCTTGATCTGGATGACAAAAATGTTTGGTTAATTAGATATTTTTTTATTTTATCATTTATCATATTTTATCATTTTTTAATCTTTTTTATTTTAATTTGCTAACAATGCTGAAAAAACAAGAAGTTCAAAAATATAAAATACTGAAGAGTTGTTTTACCTGTAAAGTTCAATTGTGTGTCGTTGCAGAATGTCCCATACAGAACATACATATGCACACGTTGATCTATATGCCATTTTGAAATGTGAAGTTTCAAAATGTTGCTATTGTTTTTAATTTTTGGCCAAGTGTCCTGAATTTTTCTGGTATAATTTTCTGGTATTAAAAAACAACATACAGATACATTTTTATTTGCTAAAATGCTGATTAGAAAGTCAAATATTGGCAACTAAAACAATATGAAACTAAGCTGGACTCACCCAATTCAATTCCGTTTGTCTCTACAAATACTATGCAATTCACTTTTGCTGTAAAGGCAAAGAACAGTGTGTGTTTTTAATACATTTAAATCTTTTACATGCCTTAACAACTATAAATCAATATCTAGAAAAAAAAACATTTTCAGAATTTTATTGGATTGACATTTTAACAAGGTCTAAATAAAGTGCATTTACAGGGATGAGGCATCTCACACAGGACAAAACATCCATGTAAATGTGTTGCACTTCATGTTTATCTAAACTTGGAGTTTGTCCCAACATGCTTAAGTAACCTGTTCAAGTTACCTGATTATAACACATCAAAAGGCTCCTTTAAATGAATTAATCTCCATAAAGTCTTGTCGAACCAGGTCTCATATTAAAATGTCAAACCGAAATGTTCGTTATATGTTGCATTTCCAATCAAAGTTCCCAGAAATCTCAATCCCAGTCCAATTAATTTCAACAGGTCAAATCTTTGGCTTTTGTTTAACTTCCTCTTTGTTGGACGGTGATTGCAAAAACAGAGAATCTCATTTCATCGCAACTTGTGAAAAATGAGAAGCAGTTGTAACTGAAACGTGTATTTGACTTACTCTGTCTCCAGTAGTTTGTTGCATTGATATTGCCATAGAAACTATCGACAACAACAAAACTTTTTTTCTGCTTGAAACAGTTTCTGATATCCATGAAATTATTTTTATTGGAATTTCCATTTCTTGAATATTTCATGAAATTATTTTTATTGGAATTTCCATTTCTTGAACGGTCATGTCCAGAATTGGATGACCCTGAAATAAAAATTGACAAATATTTTTATCGATTTAGTTAACACTGACATTATAGCTACCATAGTTGAACTTGTGATATTCAAAATTTTTGGTCATCTTGTTTCAAAAGTATAATTCATTTAAAGAAAAATGAATTGTGATACACTAGCACTTGCTGAACGTTTAGCTAAGATAACAAATGTCCTGTAAAGATTCAGCAGAATTCATGTACTCACCTGGACCCTGCAAAATGCTCATTAACAAAACCAAAGCAGTCCAACTGAGCCGAGTCATGTTTGGATGGGATGTGATGTGAGTCAGGATGTGTGACTCATTCAGTCCTGCAGTTAACATATACCAAGTATTGTTCAAAAGCCATTTTTAAAAAGGAACTTTCAGCCAAAGATGCCCCAAGCATTTCATTTTTTACCTTTCTCTGGCTGAAGTCAAATCATTAGTCAGCAGAGCACCTGGAGAGGAACTGAACCTCTGGCAATGTGCACTTGTTGTCAAACTTTGGGTAGATACCCACTGCACAAATTTTGTCTTGCAAATTCAGTTTCTGAATATGTCATCAGACTTGAGTGTGCTATGCAAAGCAGGCATAGGAACTGTGATGTCCTTTGATGAGGACCCAGGTCTAATTTTGTGAGCTGCACACTGGCTGTTATCATGTTGTGCATACAGCATCATTTTTCCATTGAAGACGTGTTAAAAGCGTAACCTTTCAGGAGGATTTGTTTCCTAAAACTCTCATAAGTGATCATTTCTCATCATTTCAAGCAGATGAAATATGTTCATATTATTTAACAGCTCAGATGCTATCTGTGTTGCCAAGTTTAATGGAAACATAAATAATGTTATTCACAAAAAACTACAATGAGCTAAATTAAAACTCGGAGTAAAGACCCGACTATGGCCTTTAACAACAAAGTGGAGGTTATCAGTTTCAGTGTCAATCTATATTTTTGGAAACAAGTCTGCGTCACAAACAACCTCCCACGTTTTCAAAGGTGTGACATTAAAATCAGTATCACAGTGGGTGGAAAATGAAAGAGTTGACCTGTTTTGCTCAGTAAACCACATTTATTGACACAACTATATGAATATTGCAATATGTAGTCCAAATTCTTTGGGCTAAATATTTGGCCTCTAGACACCACCACAGAGAACATTTAGGATGTGATCAAAGCCCTGATTTTTGCCCGTAATTATAAAGGTCTGACAAAAGTATTTCATTAACTGTTAATGAATTACAGCCATTTTTATATATTTCCTCTTATTTTCAGTGCGGCTCAAAAGTAATAAGTGGTTTTATGGCCACGCGAGCTCAGTTTCCTTGTCATTTCATTACAAATGAAGCAGTTAAAATATCTGGAGCTAATTTTTAACTATTAAACTTTTTTTTAAAAGACCATCATTAGGCTGAAAAACCACAACAAACCTATCAGAGAGAAAGTCAAAATTTCAGGATTATAATTACTCTAACTATGACGATAAACTATAATCTATAATCTATAAACTATAATCTATAATCTATAGCTAACTATAATCTGCAGACACCTTCATGAATGTACATACTGTGATTTTACAGTGAGGTACAAATCACTGATTAGAAAGCATCTGTCTAGTTTTGAAAAGAAAACGAAGATTAACTCGCCCTAGGATGATAAGAAAAGTATACAGCAGGAAAGTAATAGTCCATGATCCAAAATATACTGCACCTGTATATGTATACATGTATGTATGTATTGCATCATCTTCATTTGTGGTGCATATAAATTTTGCCGTAATGTTACGGTACGGGCATAATGATGATGATGTGACTGCTGACAGAAACAGCTGGATGAATTGTGACGGCTATCTCATAATGACCAAGGGAAAATGTGCTCAGATTTGTAGCATTTTATTGGCCGTGCCATTTAAAAATCAGAAGATCAACTATATTCTTTAACAAAGTGTGGAGATCGTTTGCTGTGGCACCTCAAATTGGGGTTGGCTGCAACTTGTCTTGAAATGTAACAGCTTCCTAATGTGACATCATTAATCAACTACCCATCAGTTATAAAGTCACAGTGTATATAAGATTTCACTCTGTAGACTTCCATGATGAAACTGTGATGGAGGTATAGATCGGGGGAGGGTAGAAAACCACTTCAACAGCATCAGTGGAAGATAGAAGAAATCTGTCCTGTTAATAAGATAAGATAAGATAAGATAAGATAAGATAAGATAAAACTTTATTAATCCCTCGGGTGGGTTCCTCTCGGAAATTCGGTTTCCAAAAGCACAGCACCAACAAAAGTTACAGAGTTACAGAATATTATATATACTGTATATACACACACACACATATATATATATATAAATACAGAGACATATATAAATAAAATATATGAAGGGGATAAATAGAATAAATAGGAATAAAAATAAAAATACAAGTGAATTGCACATTTCAAGTATTGAGGTCTATTGCACCATTGACTATTAACAAAAAGTATTGCACAAAAGGTATTGCACAGTGAGGTGAAGAGGCACTACAGCTTAGTTGTTCCCCCCTCCTTTGTCCTCCTGTCTCCCCTCCCTCTCCCCTCCAGAGAGGAGTTAAACAGTTTGATGGCGTGTGGGACAAAGGAGTTTTTAAGTCTGTTAGTTCTTGTCTTGGGGAGAAGCAACCTGTCACTGAACAGACTCTTCTGGTTGTTAATGGCCGTGTACAGAGGATGCCCAGCATTGTTCATAATGTCCAGCAGCTTTTTTAGTGTCCTTTTCTCTGCCACTGTCACCAGAGTGTCCAGCTTCATGCCGACCACAGAGTTAGCCTTCCTGATCAGTTTCTCCAGCCTGGATGAGTCCTTCTTTGCTGTGCTGCTCCCCCAGCACACCACAGCATAGAAAAGTACTCCAGCAACCACTGACTGGTAAAACATCCTCAGGAGCTTCCTGCAGATGTTAAAAGACCTCAGCCTCCTGAGGAAGTACAGTCGGCTTTGGGCTTTTTTATACAGGTGCTCTGTGTTGCATGACCAGTCCAGTTCATTGTCCACCCACAGACTGAGGTACTTGTACTTGTTGACCACCTCCACCTCCTCCCCCTCTATCTGAACCGGCAGTGGATGGAGCAATAACGACCCTCAGTGATGTGACTAAGAGCCCAACACTCATGTTATACAGCCTTAGAAGTTAGAAGATGACTCTTGTAAGGCACACATCTGCCAAACAGTATTTAAAGCATCCTGAGAATGAAAGAATTTCTTGGAAAAACATTGTTGGAATTTTGTTGGCTTTCCAAAAAAGGCAAACATTTCATATTTGCACAAATAACCTGAAGGTATTCCATTGAATTTAATTTTGAAACTCTCTTTCTCAACATTTGAAGTTACTGCTGTTATTGTAGTCAGTGTGACTGGGAATTTGACTGTCTGGCAATTCCCACATGCATGCCAGTTATTTCCATTTCTGCTTTCTTCTAAAAAAAGGGGCCCATAGGGGCTGCTTGCTGATAAGCTCTTGCTGCTGATGTATTTATAGTACTATCTTATATACACAAAATCATTTACATTTTGTATTTTGTTTTTTCTTGGTAACAATATTTGCATGCTGTTGTGGTTAAGTGGAGTGGTTGAGCTGGAATTAGTTTGCATTTTCTTTGCTTACCAGTTGCCTGTGCTGTCTGAAATAAACATGTTAACTTTTAGATTTATGAGTTTATGTTTCAGTTCCCACGCTCACTAAAAGCCTCAGGGTCTCAGTATTAGTCTGGATGATGAAAACCTCACATTATCTGTGCACTGTCTCCAGTCAGGTTAGTGTAACCTGGTATTAACAGTCCACGGAGTGACTTTTTCCAGTCAAGAAATAGTGTGGCACGCAACTCTTCGTATACCAACAGTGACACATAAACAAATAACAGGCAAAGTATGTACCTGTTGAGCACATAAGCTCTTGGAAGCACACCGAACACTTCCTGTCCAGCACAAAACAGCACACATGTAGTCAATGTTTAGCCAAATCCCCCTCTATGCCACACACAGAGGAGCGTTTATCAGCAGCTACAAAGCAACGCTTTTTCTTGCATTAATAGATAAACATCAAAATGACTGAAAAGAGCAAATATAAGCTAGAAGACTCTTGCAAACACTCACATGGACAGATATGAAAATGTTATTACACTAAATAAAAGACATATTATTCCATGCATGCACAGTAGAATGCGGATGAGCGACGAAGGGAAGATGTATTCTTCTGGTTCCATAGTGTAGCGGTTATCATGTCTGCTTTACACGCAGAAGGTCCTGGGTTCAACCCCCAGTGGAACCACTTACTTTATAGCAGCTGGACAGTGTAGTGGTAAGATACACGCCTGTTCAATTCCCACCATGCTAAAAACGAGCCCTGGAGAGGCGCAACCTGCCTGCAGTTCAGGACAGAAGCATTTCGCTATATGTTGTACTGTGTAAGTGACAAATAAAAATTTGTATTTGTAACCGCCTCTCTATCAATAATGAGGACCAATAATAAAATGAATACCATGTTTTAATCAGTAAAACTTGACACTAGTATTTGAGCCTATAAGCTTATCAGCAAAGGTGTTTACTCTTATCACAAAGCAAATGAGCCAAAGGCCATTTTCTCTTTAGTCTTTTATAACCACAGGACTCGTCCCCTGTTGGCAATTTTTTTTTTAAAAAAGCAGTTTTAAGTAAATTTGGATTGATTTTACCTGAAAGCAAGGGCAATTTTTTTTTAATGTGGTCCATGTTTGAGTTCTAAAACTGGCAAGCTTTATTAGCAAACTGCATCCATAGACTGCATGAGTGCATCACACAGGCATACATCTGTTACTGCCAAGTCACATATAAATTCACAAAAACTATAATCACACTCCTTAGACTGGTTGCACACTTTAGTCAGCCTCTAGTAGATGGTGGCAGAAAGTCTAACACTGAATCGAACTGAGCATCAGATTGGGAAACAAAGGTGATTTAAGTGACTTCAAACATGGCATGGCTGTTGGTCCCAGACAGGCTGGTCAGATTATTCCAGAAACTGTTGATCTGCTAGGATTTCTAACAGAGCTCAGTTCAGTTCATTTTTATTTCAAACATATACGTTCACCAACATTTCATAATATAATTCCATGCAGTTGTAGTTGAAAAGTTGTAGGCAGAAGTATATACTTATTTAGCCCTACCCTCTTAGATTTACGTCTTAATCATTTCCTCATAATCTAAATTTGAACAACAAAAACGTATACAATGCCTTCAACTTAGCACATAACGTCACAAAAATATTTTCTCATATACAATTAAAACTATATTTAGATTTACTGATTTGCAGAAGAAAATAAAAATCACTTTGATTTGATAGGAAGGCAGCAGTAACTGAATTAACCACTGGTTGCAGCAGAAGAGCATCTTTGAACATACAACACATCACACCAAAAACAGACAGGCTACAGCAGCCGGTCGTGTAGTGTGTGGGGAACATTTTCTTGGCACACTAAAGGGCCCTTAGTACCAATCAAGCATTCTTTAAACACCACAGCCGACCTTGGGTATTGTTGCTAACCATGTCCGTCTCTTTGTGACCACACTGTAACCATCTTCTAATGACTGCATCCAGCATATTGCAAGGTTTCAGTATTCTCACAATGGTTTCTTGAACATGACTGAGGGTTCACTGTACTCAGATGGCCTCCATAACCACCAGATTTCATTCCAATAGAGCACCTTTAGGATGCAGTGGAACGGGAGAGTCACATCATGGAAAATGATCAGCTGCCAAAAAAGTATTTGCCAAAAGGTGATTGTAGGAATTTAAACTGTTGTTAATGTTGTGACTTTTCCCCCTGTAATCTGTCAAAAAGGGAGAAGGTGCAACAGCCTCATAAATCCAGTTCACTACAGTGCATTTACCAACATAAGCAAAGCTATTAGACATTACAAAAACAAAAGAAATAGAAACGTCGGTGTTAGCAAGGATTTGAGTGTAGTGTCCTAGGTTTTCCTCATGAGGGCAGTATAGGGGTTATTTGAAACAAAGTAAACGAAGAAGTGCATGGCGGAAGGAGTTACAGTAGTCACCCTGATGCGGAGAGCAATAATAAACGGCACTGACACGAGTGAGTAGCAAAAACGCACTGCAGGAGATAAAACGGGGAGGTTTAGTTTCTGTCTGGATTCTTGCGCTTCTCTAATTAATGCATGCATTGATGTTTGTAACCCGCTGGCTCCACAGACAAACTGCTCTGTCTAGGACACTTAATGACAACCAACCCGAAGTGCATTCCTTTTCTCTGTGAACTGTAACACACCAGACACTTGTGTGCTAATTTCACACTCATTAAAAGACATTCACTCTTATATACTTCGCAAATAATCAAGGTTTTCTAGCTACCATCGCATTCCAGTTTGCCAGACTATCCATTGTCCCAGTGTAAAATGCCCAAAGTCAAGCGATGAAACAAAGCTGATGTGTCCCGAATGACAGATGGGACCCCGAAAGTGTTTTTACTCGTAACTTGTGTGGTTTGTTCAGTAACAAGTAAAAGTAAAACAAGCAAAGAAAATTAAATTCGACTATTTTCGAATGGAGGCTGGCTCGATTATGAAAACTGGATAATTAAACTGTTTTTTTCGCTTGAAAGACAATTATTGATGTTTAAATTGTGTTTGATGTTGAGCTTTGTGATATTAGTTCTTAAATTGTGAATGCACTGTCGAATAATCTCATCATTTTTTTCTTAAGGTTTAGGATATGTCTGCAGGCTGTGTAAGATGGGTGCTAAGCCATGCAGTGAGAACGGTGTGTGGTGGGAGTCCCTTGTATACGCCACCAGCCTTAAGATTTACAATATGCAGCAAAAGATGTAATATCATCGCTGCCTCTTGGAGACAGTCTGCTTTCTCCACTGAAGTACACAATACAGAACAAACTCCAGCCACGCCAAAGAAGAAAAAGCAAGATCCCCGAGCAAATGCCTCGATCAGCAGCATCGGCCGTAAGATCCCTGAGCGTCAGATACAGGTGATAAGTGCAGCTGGTGAGAACCTGGGCGTCATGCACCGTGCAGATGTCATCAGAATGATGGATGAGGAGGGTCTCAAGTTAGTGCTACTCAGTGAGCACAAAGACCCACCAGTCTACCAGTTGATGAGCGGCAAACAGATCCACGAGGAGCAACTAAAAATGCGGGAGAAGAAGAAAGCGAAAGCAGGTAGATGGTTACCAGATGCTTTTCTCATTCCTCTCTATCCTACTGCCTTCAACCCAGACATTATGTTGAAGGATATCTCAGTTCCTAAAATGTATATGAAGGACAGAGGACAGGGGAGGTAAGGCAGAGGAGCTATAATTGAGGATGCTCAGGTGTATCCTTTGCAGAAGTGTTTTCACCTTGAACATATTAACGAGGCATGGCACACAGCCAGTTCTCTCTACTTGCATTCCTTCTTTGTCCTCGCTGGGGAAATAAGGCTCCAGGAGAGGATGTGAGGAAAGGAACTGGGGATGTACAAACTGAGAAATGAGAAAAGAGGCATTACCTAGGTCAGTTTAAGGACGGTTCAAGAAATAAAGAGTTACATTACACCAAAGTCATGCTCTTTGCTTGAAATTGTCATAGACTTTAGAAAAGCACTTTTGGGGTGACAGGTTGACAAGCAGCTGTAAGTCCAAAAATAGTTGTTTTTTTGCTCCAGTTCCTGTGCAGGTGAAGGAGCTCAGCTTTTCAGGTGGCATAGCGTCTCATGACCTCACCACAAAGCTGAAGCAGGTGGAGAGCTGGCTGGAAAAGAAACACCATGTGAAGATCACTCTGCGGGCAGTGCGTCGTGAATCTGCAGTTAACCTGGTGAGGAAGAACGCCTATAAACCTGAGCGAATTCCTTGATTATTCTTTTATTCAGTAAGGGTCTGAGTTGTGACTAATATAACATAACAAATGTATATACATATATGGTTGCAGTGGTTAATCCACCACTATGTCAATTTTCAAATTCATTATTTCACAAAAAAGCAGAGAAATGGGCAAAGCACGCTATTATTTTGATTAAGATGCCAAATTACAATTATTCAATTGTATTGATGAACAAAAAAATTAGTTTTAGAGATTAATTGTTTTGCTTGATTAATTTCTGGCTTCTCAGAGAAGTCCCCTGTGTCGTTTCAAATACAGTAAGGAGCTTATTTAGCAATAAGCTAATGTATTTTTTTTAAATCCCTGTTATTGGTTCAGAAATATTTAGATGTAGGTCTTGCTTAATTACTTAAACAAAACTTTGCACAGCAATTTAGGGCTGTTTATAGCAAAAAAAATTAAAGTAAAATATGAGTAAGTAAAATCCTCAGTAAAAACTCAGTATTGCTCATATTTCAGTAAAAATTACTTTTGCATTTAGGTTTTTTTTTTTTCTTCCTTAAAAGCTTTTTATGCAGAAACATCTTTGTGTTTTCTTTCCACAGGATGCCACTCTGGAGCAAATCGTGGAACAAATGGAAGTAATGGTGGGATTTGTCTCAAGGCCAAAAGTGATACGTGATGGCCAAGCAGCCGTGTGCATCCTCCGACCGCCTTCAGCAAAGGAACTGTCACAAAAAGGAAAGAACAAGGCTGCAGAAGCACAGCCTGCCAACTCCACTTCAGAGGCTGCTCAGAGTGAAACGTCTCCTGTTGGCAGCACGGACACAACACAAGGGTCCACACAGCACTGATGTGACAGAAATAAAACTTTTTCACAAAAGCAAGTTGGAGTCTGTGCCTAGTGCCACAACTTGTTTCGTCAATCAGACTTTGTAGTTTAAAAGTTTATAACCCAGGGCATGGAGGTCCCACGGGATACAAGACCAGGCTGTCATGTAACCTTTGGCCAAGTAGACACAAACACAAACGCAAAATTGCTTAACAGAGCCACAAAATGACTGTACAGAAAACTGCAAACAACAAAATAACAGTGAAACATAATGAGATACAAACACACAAAATGTAGACATACACAAAATATTTCATGTAGGCAGCCACCAAAAGGCAAAATGACTAGAAGCACATGTAAAATAAACACAAAAGTGACAAAAAAGACATCAAAAAGAGACACAAAACGATTCAAAACAGATAAAACATAGCTTTAAACACAAGGTAACAACAAGGTAAACACAAGACTTAAAATAGGAGAAAATGTGTATGAATTAAACAATAAAAATGAAAGACCTAATACAGCAAGAAACACTTGCAATAAAAGCAAGATTAAGCAATATGAACAGAGGGCGAAACAAACATAGACAGATAAAAGCAGTGAGAAATGCAGAAATGCAACAGTAAAAAACAATTATACATCTTATTTGTTGGCCTCCATGTGAGGGGGAAGGCTGTTTTCTAATTATGAATAAATGGATTAAGGGCATTTTTGAGAGGCTGAAACGTGCAGGTTTTGACTTAAAGTTATGTGTACACTGCAGCGTTCCAGATACGGGATGAATCTGCATCTGGATTCATTTATAAGATCTTCTTGAGCAAATCAACATGTCTTCAATGTTTTCTTATTGTGAAGCTATGACGGGAACTTGAAATTACTTTTTGTAAATGTCTGAGTTTAAAAGTCATTTTAAATTCGCAAAAACTCACTAAAACCATCAACACGACGTGAAGAAATGACTTCATGTCCAAAATCTATATTGAAGTGAGATCAGCTGAAATCAAACTGAGGTCCAGTTGTACCTGTTTCTACCACACGGTAGTGCAGTAAGTCAACGTTGCTTTTGTTTAACCAAGAAATGGTTATTTTATGTTTGAGAGATGGCAGCGTGCAGACAGTGTTTGTTGTCAAACGAGAATAGTGTTAAAAAATGGGATTATATATATATATATATATATATACATACACATATACACACACATATGTATGTATATATATATATATATATATATATATATATATATATATATATATATATATCTATATAGATATACATATATATATAAAACAAAGACCTCCATCATGGCTGCTCCCTGTCAGACATCCTACAAGTCTTCAGTAAAGTCATGAAGAACATAATCCTTTTAAAAGGGAGAAAAAAATATGTGGAAATCGTTGACACAGTGTACATCAGGTTGGTCTCTCAGGATGTAGTGTACAAGTTTTCTAAGATGTTCACAGCTCAGATAGGAACATACTACATGGTAATACCAGACTTATAAACTGATGAATCTGTCATAGAGTAAAAGGTGTACATTTTATTTATGACGTTTTTAATCAAGATAGAACATATTCTTATCAAAAGCTGCTTTAACAAAGAGGAGCACACCAAACCAGCACCAGTGTCTATCTCTCTCAGCTTTATTCAAGATTGTTTTTGGTAAAAAATAAAAGTAAATTTGGCATACAGATACATTCACTCGTCACGGATAAATGTGTTTGCTTGACTGAAATGTCAGTGCAACACTTTCATCAACACTTATCTCTAACCGCAGAGATACTGCCATGGAACTTTTCTCTAACTAGAATCATACATTTCCTATACATTAAAAAAAAACTGAAATCGTGAAATCAAAAGAGAGAGAACTTAAAAGCCTCCTTAAGGCCCCAAAAAATAAAATCTTTCCTAGATTGTGTTAGAAAAAAACAAACAAACAAAAAGCAGCTCAACTAGCATGCAAGAGCAACATTTGTCAATAAGCCTCAAGAACTTTGTAGGAGGAGAAAGGTTTAACAAAGTGATAGTCCAGGTTGCCGCAGTGGGGGCACTGCTGGACGTTGCTGTACTCGGAGAAATACTGCATCCCGACTCGAACGTCCACCACCGGTTTCCCGCAGTGCTTACAGTTGAGACGGGCCTGAGGACATACAGGACACAGGTCAGCAAACAAGAGGCTGGAAAGAGGCAAGATATCAGCATGGAGGTTCACTCGTGACTCCCTGGGATCTAAGTGTGACAAAATCATGTTAATTCAAGGGTCCAAGCAGCTTTAAATGGGTCTTTAGATGCAAAAAGTGACGGTGAAACTAGATAACAGACTGGATGCACTTTTACTACTATAATACAATCACTATTTTTAGACTAGCGTAGGTTATCTAGCTATTAGGCTCTTCTTCCATGGAACCAGCTTCCAGTGGATTCAGGAGACAAACACCTTTTTGATAAAGCTTATAGTTAGGACAGGCTCAAACCGGCTGCTAGGGGACTTTCCATGATGCAATGAGCATTTCTATTCCCCATGTGTTTACATGCCACTATTTCATGACATTAACGTCAGTCTACTCTCTCCTGTAGTTTGTGTTTTGTATTTTGTCATTCACGGTCTCTCTACGCTCCTGTTTTTCACCTTTTTATTTCGCCTCATGCTCCAATAGTTTGCAGCGGATGGCTGTAGCTCCCTGATCTTGGTTCTGCGGCAGGGTTCTTTCTGTTAAAAAGGGAGTTTTTCGTTTCCTATGTTGCCAAGTTCTTGGTTGTAGGAGATCGTCCAACTTTTGGGGTTTAAAATTGCCTTGGGATAGCTGTTGCTATGAATTGGTAACAAATTAAGTAACAAATTAAGCGCTACAATTAGCAAACAAATGCTGTGGTTTTTTTGCTATTTGGTAGATACTTTGTAGATGCAGGTAATGCAATAAAAATATTATACGCCATATTCCAAATTATGCAAACATCCAGTTTGTCGTTTTCAGTTAAACTTGTGGATGGTATTGTGTCTCAGGGCTCTTTGGATCACTGATATGAATCTCAGACAGCTTTCATAATTAGGTTGCCAGGCAAGCTCAATTAAAGGAAAACTAGCTAAAAAAGATGTTCCAAATTATTAAGCATACCACAGGTTCCATGCAACATGGGAAAAAAGGATTTCTCTGCTGCAGAAAAGTTTCAAATAGTAGAATGCCTTGGACAAGGTATGAATACATTCAATACGACACAAAAACTTAAGCGATTATTGTACTGTGAAAAACTTTGTGGCTGATTCACAGCACAGACGGGTTAATGAGGAAGGTTTCTGCCAGAGAAATTCATCAGATTAAGAGAGCAGCTGTTAAAATGCCATCTCCCACAAGCAGAAATACATCAAGATTCATTTTCAAACAGTCTTCCAAACTAATGGATGTCGTGCAACCCTGGGTTAAGGTTAGGAATCATGGGGAGAGAGCTGGTAGCCCCCTTTAGGATGCCCAAAGGTGTGAAAATGACCTCTGCAAAATACTGGTATGTAGAGTTTCTTCCTATCTTCATGCATGACAATGCACCATCTCATCCTGCAACGAATACCTCTGTGGCACTGGCTGCTCTGGGCATAAAAGGAGAGAAATTCATGCTGTGGCCCCCATCCTCCCCTGACCTCAACCCTATTGAGAACCTCTGGACCATCCTCAAGCAAAAGATCTATGAGGGTGGGAGGTAGTTCACATCAAAACAGCAGCTGTGGGAGGCTATTCTGACATCTTGCAAAGAAATTCAAGCAGGAACTCTCCAAAAACTCACAAGTTCAATGGATGCAGGACTTGTGAAGGTTATATCAAAAAAGGACTTTTGTTTTTGATAGAAATAGCTTTTGGTTTTTAGTAAATGTGACCTCCTAATACTGCAAATTCAACAAATGACCATTTTCAGTTCTTTACAACCAATAAAATTTTTTGAAACTCTATTGTGCATAATAGTTTAGAACAGTGTTTTTTAAGGTTTGTTTTATTTCTGCAAAAACATGGTTATCATTGGGAGGTATGTTCAATAAAATTTGAATTTGCAAAGCCAAAAACAATCCATTTCCACTAAAAAGCAGGTAAGCGGAGCTTCTATTGAGATTATTTAACCCCAGAAAGGAAGATTTAATAATCCAATTTCAAGTCAGACAAACAAAACTTTATATTAACAACGTGGAGTCAGTAGTTCAGAAAATGAGTTATACGTTGTCTGACTTTTTAAATTGGTATTGAATCATTTAACTTTTGTCAGATCGGTGCTAACAGTTATTTTGGTGTCCATGAGCAAATGTTGGCATCTGCAAGTAACATGGTCACAGCTTTGTAGGAGCTGCAGCTGTTTAATCTCTAGATTTGGTTTAGAGCTTTTTTAATTAACTTTTTGGCTCAAAGTGGCAGAGGAGAAAGCTGTAAACACAACACTGAATTGCTATCACCTCATAAATTGATAACTTTAGCAAACACCTGCTTACACACCCAGCAGAGATAAAGCATCATGTCACTGTACCTATTTGTTGTCAGAAATTACTAATACGGGGAAGGTCTTTGGTTTTTGCTCTTATCGCTTTTGTCTGTCATATTACTCTTCTTCTTCTTTTCTATTTATTTCAGTAGCATGCTCTTCTATGCCCCTCAGTGTTTCTACCTGGCAACACGGTGAAGCAGCCAGTATGTCGTAGGTATACATGGTGCCCAGCTGGTGCCAGCTCCCATCCCAGCGTGACTTGCACTTGATGCAGACAATCTTGTGGACGCCCTCTAGACAGTCCACACAGATGGCGTAGAGGTGCATCAGCCGGCCTGTTGAAAGAACCAAAAGGAATAATTAATCATACATAAAAAAATAAAATAAAACAATAAGCCTCCTCAAAAGTCCACTGTCACATCCCTGCAGTATATACAGACCTTTACGTTGCTTCATGAATATTATTCTCTTTCTTGCTCTGGTGTTTTTCCACTCCACTGCATTATACAGAGTCATTTTATTATTGCCGCCAAGGAGGCTTTTTTTTTTTTTGCAGCATTTGTGATATGATGATAGCTCAAAAAGTTTTCAATTAATTAAAAAAAAAAACCTTTGGACTGGTGTAGAGTGGGGTCATGTTAACAATACATTCAAATTTTACTTCCATCCACTGAGGTCTTCAGGGTTAACTTAATGATTTATTGGTGAAAATTTGTCAAAAAATCAGAAGTGTATTGTCAACATATAAAAAAGTACCATAAAAAGAGTTCTAATATAATGTTACATTTGACCTCTGACCTCTTCTTCAAGGTCAGTGGATTGTTCTGAAGGCCAAAGGAATAATAATGCTGCACAAAGCTATTTAAAACAATTTTTTACTTTTATTGTTTGTACTGACGATATAAAGGCATATACTGTAGGGGATGATATATGGGGATTCTAATTATTGTGTTATTTTGGACTTCATAAAATGTCTTGTATCTATACAAGACTATACTTGTAATGGCAAACATTTAGAAAATCATACTGGCATAGATTTTAAATATCACATTATAGTTTTCATCCAAATGTCATGTCACATTTGACCTCTGACCTGACTTTTATGTTTGACATCTTCCTTCCTCTTAAAATGACCCCAAAAATTGTTGCATCTTAAAGTCAGTAAGTTAGAAATATAATGTAGAAATATAATATTATATATTGAGCTCAAGTTATTCGCTTAACATTTACAAATCAATATCCATTACCTACTCCTACATAATGTTTGCGTACTCAAAGTAAACACCTGTCACTCTGCCCTTATGTCATTTTTACTGCACTATTCCCTTAAAGGTAAATACAGCCCAGAGAGTGAGCTGTCTTAGCGGAGGCTTGAACTCTCTGAGTGCTTCTTCTTCATGTTTTTGCCACACAGTTCAAGCCTGAGTTATGATTATGTTTTCTGGGGGGTTCTTACTTACTTCTTCTGTTTTTAGCTCAAATATAGAAAAGTATCATGGCTAGTATAATTTAACTGAACTCTTTTTTTTTCACATCTGTTGGACAGAAATTAAGCTACTCCTTCACCAACATTTAAATTCTGCCTGACAAAAAGCAGCAAAAATGGAATAAATAAGCCTTTCATACTGATGCATATCAAGGACATACATATCAAAGCTTGGAGGCCAGCACATCAAAGAAGCTTCACGCTGATTTACATTCATGTAGGACTGTGCAGAAGCCAGCAGAAAACCTTTCATGTGTATTCACACAGTGAATATTGGGCTTACTGATGGATCAATTTCTCTTTATATAAGGAAAACACAGTTTGAAAACACTTTAAAGGAGCAGGAATGTATAATTGAGCATCATGATGCACTAATAATTTATTTATAACCACTGAGAATATACATTTTTCATGATTAGCGGCAGTCCTGTTGTCGTACTCTGCGGTAGTCTTAACAAGGCGGTGACCCTGAGCTCTCAGTGCGCTGCCAATTAGGAAAACATGCAAATACACAAAAACAAATGAAGAACTTATTCTCATGAGTTTGAAAACGTAGTACACAACAAGATGATTCACAGATCAGTTTCATTTCCTTTAAAGGTTTAAATATCTTTTTTTACTCTAAATAGTCTGATTGCATGATGTATTACGACTTTATTACATTTGTTTGCTCACTTTTGAGTTTGACTGCCCAAGTCAGAAGCTTAATCACAATAAGGTCTGTGTAAACTTAAAGGTTTCATTCAATTTGCACCACTAAATAAAAATCTGATAGAAAATGGGTGAGGTTAGAAGCCTCTGTTATACATTTTTCCCTATTCTCCCTGCCCCATGTACAATACACAGGCTGTATATCCTCACCAAATCTGATGTCATTCCCCCCTTTCTCAACTCTCCTGGCGCTATACATTAAAGGCAAAATAAGCTGATGAAACAAATCTTGCGAGGTCCTCTACTTCCGCTATTTTAATCTTCTGTCTATCTTCTAGCCAGGCATTGTAAATACACTTGATTAATTGATGGTTAGCAACCGTGACGACCACTGAAAAAGCAGAAGTTCTGACAGATTGCTGTTCAAAATCAGACCGCTCAATGCTGAGCGAAATTTCAGAAAACTCAAATAATACATCTCAGACTCTTACATGCATGAATATTTACCTCCACAAATTAAGCACAGGCCTCATTCCATGCAGTTAAAACCATGTCTGACCTTGAAGGTGGCACGGCACATCGTACTCAATCTCATCATGGCGTGAAGGGCTGAGGAACAGCGTCCCATCCACCAAAGGAAACTGCTCAAATACAGGCAGCGCCCGGTGGCACAGTGCACAGTTGACCACGTTTCTCTGGCTCGCACTGAGAGCTGACAGGATGAACCTACAGGGTGGCGACACAGTAAGAAGAACCATCATCAAATCACTTGCACTGAAAGTTCAGGCAGTTCTTCTATGTAGGATATCAGCAGAAATGATTGTGGCACTGCATCTCGTGACCTAAATCAACAATCATTTCTTTGTTTTAATCAGTGCATGCAGTCAAAATTCTGCTAAAAACAGTGATAAGCCACTCTGTTTACAGGAGGTACAGAATTATAATAGAGGAAGCATGTATGAGGAAAGAAAACCATATCATAGATCCATTTTAAGAAGCTTTTTTTTCTGAATATGAACGATGAACTGTGCAAAAGTCTCTGGCCACCGCTCGTTTCTTTATATTTTGTTAGGAAGATTGGAAATACACACAGTGATTTAGTGAAAGATGTGCAAACATAAATATGTATTTCAACAGTTTGTACAATTCTATCAAGCTGTCGCCAATCAGACACTTTCAGGATGATGGATCCAGATGGTAGATCAAAATCTGATACAACTATTCAGCATTTATATTTCCATCGCTTTTAACAAGATCCTCACCACCACTTGGTTTTTCCAGATGGCTGTAGACACAGTGTTTCACCTTCGTCCTGACGTCTTCAGTGCATACAAATTCAAATTTGTATTCATCACTCTTGTGAAGTACCTCAGCCTTCTCTGTGTTTTCCTTCCCTAAGAATGGCTTCTTGACAGCCACCATTCCTTTGAGATCATTTCAGATATCCACGTTTTTAGGCCTGTCACTTCTTTTTTTGACCTCATCTTGTCCATTTTCCTCAATATTTTTAGGCACACACTTCACACCATGCTGTGATATGCCAGGTTTTCAGCTAATAGCTGTTTGTTGTACAAAAGTAATACTTTATGCCTATCAAGCTGCGCTATCTTAGAATTTTTTTATAGATTCAAATAAATAAATTGGAACAAATCATGCATTTTTGTGACAGTCTGCTAGTAACAAAGATATAATTTAAAAATTTTGTGTTTCTTAAATCGTCTATTGTGTGTAGACACAACTGGGTCACTGGGCTAGATGCCTATTTTAAATTTGAACAAGTCATAGTTCAGTATTAAGCTTAATGAACAAACAAACAAAAGCCTTTCTCTGAAAAAGATTAGGTCTTATCTAAGGATAAGAGGTGGTTTAAGACTTTTGCACAGTACTGCATGTAAATGTATACATGAATGAGTGCTGTGCAAATGCTGTAATTATATTGCAACTTTAACCGCTGTGTGGTTATATGATGTTATAACTGCAAAATGCTGCAGTTACAATATATTAAAACCACATGTGCCACAAGCAGCTGTGAATGTGACGACCTGCTCTGTGTGCAGCCTGCTCGTTCTTTACCTGTACTAAGCACATGAATATAGGACCTGGCCTGTCTGACAGTGAATCACGTGCATTGCATGGGCACATCTGGTAGGTTTAAAAGTTCTGAGTTTTATTTAGCATTTTGATTAAAAAATATGTTTAAAGTTTCAAGATTTGCATGCAAAATAAACATTTCAGATTGATCACTTTCACCATGTGTTCACTGTGTCGCAAGTTTAGTGTTCAAGAAATGTTGCAAGAAATAGATTTGTTATATTATTTCCCAAAAGCCCTACCTGCGCAGCTCCTCTCCCTGGCCTGCCTGGGCATCATCTTCCATGCGGACGTGGTAGGTGTTGAGCTTGTGGCGCGGGATGTGGGTGAGGAGTTCCGAGAGGTCCAGCCTCCTCAGGAACTGCACCGGGTGAGGGTGGCTACCATCACCTACGCTGCCAGAGGTGAGCCGGTGATGAAGCGGGAGGGTAAAGGATAGCTGTAGCGGCAGGACAGACCCTGCATCTAAGTGAGGAGCACCAGCTGCACCGCCAGAGGCTCCCAGGGAGCAGCCTCCGCTCCGACCGAGAGATCCCCCAACCAACAGGTGTTTCCTCTGTGCGTCCATGTGGACGGCTGATTTGAAGAACTCTCCCAGCTGACGGGAACCCCGCATACCTGTTCCCCCACCTCCCGATCCAAGAGCAGCAGTGGGGGAGAAGGTGAAGCCAGTAGGAGGAGACTGTCCCGGGGAGTCACATGGAGATTTCTGAGGAGGCCCAAAAGGTAAAGGCCCTCCTATTGCATATCCCCCTCCTCCTGCTGCTCCACCTCTCTCTGTGGAGTTCTGTCGATCAACTGATTGTCTACGAGGCATCTCCTGACTAGAGGCCCTATTAGCTAGTTTGGCTCCTCCTACAGCCCCTCCAAGTGGTTTGCTTTTCTTGGGCTCTTCAAAAAACCCATCCCCGGACCCTGAAGCCCCTCCGCTGGCTCCAGTCCTGCCTGAGCTCCTTTCCGACGATTTCTTCTTACGCTCATCCTGCATGCGTTTCACCTGGTACCAGTCGGTGTCCTTCTTCAGGTGACCCTGGCCACAGCGGCAGGAGCAGAACCTGAAGGCTAGGTCGTAGCCTTTCTTGGTCCACATGTTTTGTCGGCATTGCTTCTCATTCCAGGACCGCGCACGGCCGATGCAGTTGAACTGGACAAGGATGGAGCTCTCCCACTCGTAGAAACACTGTAGATGCATCCAGTTGCCATAAGGGCAGAGCTCGCTGTTGCAAACAACCCTCTGGCAGTCGTCCTTCTCCAGATCAATGGCACGGCTCAGGCTGCAGCCGAGAGGGGTTGCACACTGGGCCTCTGAATGAACAGAGAGAAGAGAGGAGGGAAAAGAATTTATTTATAACTCAAATTCATAAAAAGTTTAAAAGCTGTGTACAATGTAGATGAAACCAGAACGCAATGATTTGTAAATCTCATAAACCCATATCTTATTCACAACAAAGCATACAAAACATATTGAAGGTTTAAATTGAGACAACAAAAGGTGGGGAAAGTACCAAAGAGAAACCCCTGGAGGAACACAACAGGACAGTAACAAGACTGGGTATAAAAAGAGCATCTTTGAGAGTTTCTCAGAAGTAAAAGATGGACAGATGTTCACCACTCTGCAAATAAGTGTGTCTACTGTGTCTGGAACAATTTCAGAATGTTCCTCAACATAAAACTGTGACAAGTGTGAACATCTCATAATGTACAGTACTGAGTATTTTCAAAAGATACAGAGAATTTGTAGAAATCTGTGTGTGGAAGAGACGAGGCTGAAAATCAATATTTGATGACCGTAATCTTTGCTAAAAACAACCATGTTTCTGCATTGGCTCAGGAACTACCCCAGAAATCATTATTCAGGGATACAGTTCATCATGCCATCCACAAATGCAGGTTTAACCTCTATTTTGCAAAGAAAGAAGCCAAATGTGAACATCTTTTTTTGCTCATTTTGAGGGTCACCGCACCGGATCATCTTCCTCCAGCTCCCCTTTTCTCAAGCATCTTCTTCTATCACACCAACCTTCTGCATGTCCTCCTTCGCTACATCAATTAATCCTCCTATTTTTCTCCTACCTGGCAGCTCCACATTCAACATCCTTTGTCCAGTATGCTCACTATCCCTCTTCTGCAAACCATCTCAGGCTCGCCTCTCAAGCCAATCTTCAAATGTTATTTTGAAGATTGATATATGACGACATTGATCTACGCCTATCAGATATTTGACAACAAATGTAACCTAGCCAATCAAAATTAGGGTGACTTTGCTCTTTTCAGTCTACAGCCTATTTTATTTCTTTAACTCTTCTAATAAACCTCAAGTACTGCAAACAATAAATCTGTTAACGTAAAATACATAAAATAAAACTAAAATATGAAGATTGGAAATAGCTAAAGTTAAAGATAAATGAATAAAAGTATTAATAAACATTCTGATTTGCTATTTACTGAATTAATATATGTGTAGGCATTATTTATATTATAGAATGTGACATAGTATTTTTGCTCTTTTAATTTCCTCCTTATTTACCTTCACTTTGACTCTCCAGCTTATTCGGTTTTCCATTTAATTTTTCAAATAATTCAATTGTTTTAGTTTGGCACCTTTTGTCCTCCAGAGAAAATTCTAATTACAAGTTAACCATTAAACTACAGCATTGTTTAATCCAGTGGTAACTTTTACTATTCATTTACTGCACAAGAGCCTAAGAAGAAGTCTTCAAATTAAGTAAACAAAACAACAGCAAACCCTAGAAGCTAATTTTACTTTCATAAACTGCACTTATGACGCTTTCAGCTTCTTAAAAGCTTTTTCGGTGTCTCGAATTTTTAGAAACTGAAGAGAGTTGTGGGGTTTTCTTTCGCACAAACTGAATACACCACTTTGGGATTTTTATTATTATTTTTTATTTTATTTTAATCAACCATTATGTGCAGCTGAAATACTAAAGGCAACAATTTATTCATGTCTTCAGCACAAATGCATTTTGGGTGACATTTTCCCTCCGATTCTCCATCCTAAGCTTCATCGCAAACAGACACAACATGGGGTGAAAATGTTAAACGGGTGCTTTCGGTGTCCTTGCTGCCTCTTCTGCATCTATTTATGAAATTCAAGTAGGCCATCCTGTGAGCAGCTCTATTCACAGGATGCCAATTCTCAAATCTGGATGTGAATCAAACAAAATGTGGCCACACGGTCTCTATGAGAGGAGTAGCTCATGATAATACACTGTGTGTGTGTGTGCGTGTGTGTGTGGGGGGGGGTAGTTTCCTCCTTCCTTTTCCGGTACAATTGCAGGGCTTTCTTCTTCTTCTTCTTCTTCACTTTCTAACTCACCACACAGCAGAAAACAATCCACTTTTAGCACCGTGTATCACTCTGGTGTCTACAAGTGTGTTCAGGCTTCAGCATCCGCAGAACAAGAGCTTTGCAGAGATTTTGTAACTTCCAGTTAAAGGCATCTTTCATACCATAAACCTAGTCCTAGACTATAAACTTATTTCAGTGAAGGTCTTCAATGAATTTTCTTTTTTTGTGCAGGAACAGGCTTAATCCACATCTGGGGAAACCTGCTGCAAAAGATAGATGACAGCAAAAAGGAAATTTTTTGTTAAAAGGCCCAAACCCCCTCTTGGAACCGCCTACCTTCTGGTTTTGCAAACATGCACTTTACACTCTGAACTAAAAAAAATAAATAAGTGTAATTACTAACTACCTGTACAGTATATACGTTAAGTTTCTCTGATGAGTTACACGGTAAAAATCCCGATTTGTGCTTTGCTTTCCCTTTTAAAAAAGTTAAAGCAGGGCTTTACTTAGTCTTATAACACCATAAGAACAATCTGTTGTCACTGGATGTGTAATGCTGCACTAGCAATACCTGACAGTTAAGATGAGGTTTGCTGTGAAGTGGTTTCCAGTCTCAAGCTTTGTTTAATCTGTACAGTTTGTATGAATGCACGCACCTCCAGCAGCTCCACGTCCGTGTGGACTGCATTTGAACTTGAGTGCGCACACAAGCGGTGAGCTGTCAGTATTACCCTGGAGGAGGAAGGCCACAACCGAAAAACTGTTGTGGACAAGGTGCCCGTCAGGAAAAGACAGCTGAGGCCTGCGAGAGAGCCCGCGATCACTGACGTGCACGTGCAGACAAAGAAATAAAAGAAGGGTCGCGCTGTGTCGTTAACACCTCTTATGGCCACTTTTGACGGCGCTGCGCGTCACATTCACGGGCGATAATCCCTTATATTCCTAGAGGAGTTCCGAGGAGCCGAACTCCATTCATAAATTTCACGATTTCGTATCTCTCCCATCATCCACCTCTGAAGCCAATAACAAACTACGACCACAATCGACTTAAGAAACACCAACAGCCGCTGTCAAGTTCGCCTTAAATCCGACACATTAAGTAACACCTACTACTTCAGCAATATTTCAACTGCTTTGCCGCCTGCTCGGCATTCGTCCTGTGCCCACACAAACCCCGAATGACCTTTAAAAATAATAGAAAATCAGTTTCCCAACCACGATTTAAGCGCAGTTGAGCAATAGCTACTCCAACAGCTACAATTATGCAAGGCCTGAAATCGTGCTCGACAAATGTGGCCCATGTTTGCCACTATTCACGGAACCGTAATGCCGCACATTTTAAACGAAGTTTGGGCTTGAGCTGCAAGGAACAAGTGGATGGGGGGGGATCGAGACATTTGCACCGTTGCAGTGAACGTATGTCACAGTCGTGCAGACAGACAGACAGGGCTTCCCCCCTGGCAGGAAGGCAGCATCACCAAACTTCACTACATCTGCGTCCGTTTCCTCTCTTACCACTTGAGCGCTCGCTCCTGGGTGCAGCCGCCGCGGCCGCGCCTCCTGTTGCGGCCGCACAGGCTCCATTTTCCTGCTCATCTCCGCTACTGTTCGTGCGTTTGCTTTTCTTTCCCTTGCTGCTCTTCTGGTTGGGCATTTTACAGGATTCGAGTGTCAAGTCTTATTTTCGACCTCTATCAACGGCTCCTGTCAGCGCTGTCTGACATTTCTGTGGACTCCATTTCAGCAGTGGACCCTTGCAGTGCTTTGTTTTTAATGCGGGCTTTTCTCTTTGTGGTGATGCTTTTGGGCCTCTTCTTGCACGGCGGGTTGAATTTAGTGCAGCAGGTCTAAGAAATAAGCTGGTATAACCTTTAGGAGCGAAGGCGTGTCCGTCTCTTGTTTTGATTCCTGCTCTGCTGTTCTCTTCCACCCCCTGACGTCACGGGACCCCGCCCCCTAGTGTTGACCGTCAGCGATTTAGGCTGCGTTTGCGTCCCGTGGGAAAGCTCGGAATTTGCTGCCTCTAAAGGCATGTTTCGGTTTTTAGTCAGGTATCAGATTTATTCCCCATACATAGAAAGTTCACAGAAAGGTCTTAGCAAAACAAAGCCTTAAAAGTTACTTCAACTTCACACCATATGATATTATTATATAATATCTTTCTCTATACTTATTTTACTGTACTGTATTTATTTTTAATTAAAATTTTTTTTAATTTCATTAAGCTATAGTTTTATGTCACATTATATACTATTGCCTTATGTACTCTACCACTTTCTCAAGCCATTTGTTATATACTTGTTATTGTCAATTTAATTTTTTCCCTAATTGTCCTATCATAGCTTACTTAGCCATTATTTATTTTTAAAAACTAAATAAAGAATCTTTTTTTCATATCTTTCTTAAAGGCAAAAGCCTGAATCTGACCATTTCATGGTTATGGTGAATTTCACCAAAATAAGTAAAATAAATAAATAGTTTAAATGTACCATACAGCCCACCTTTCCAGTGTGAAGCCACATGCACAGAAAATAACCCTAAAAACTACAAATTAGCTGCTGTTTCTCAGAATTTGAATGAATTGGTGGGCCAGATTTACATTTGCAAAGAACTATGCTTTAGTTTGACACATGTGGCCGAGTAGTTTAAAAATTAATCAGATTCTTGACTGACTGTGATAGCATTAGTAAATTAATTATGTTATTTCTAAGCTAGGAGAATACGGTAATTTGTTACTTGTCAGTACCTTTGTTATACCTCATTATAAAAGTACTTTTATTTGTCTACAGTGCTGTTATGACAGTGTTCCAGCGTCATCACCCATCCTCAAAATTTCCCCACTTAATGCTTCATTTAAAAAAAATAATTATGCCAATTCGAGATTACAGTTATGGGAAAGTTCATTCTCCAAGTTGCTATTGAAGTGTTCACAACAATAGTAACTATCAGTGCTATCAATAGCATTGTAAATGTATACTTATCTCCATAGATAAGCATAAATGGTGATCATTAAAACACACACACGTTACACAGCCTCTGGTTAACTATTTACATGAAGCGGCAGCCTCAGTTGGCACTAAAGTGAACGATAGAAGAGGATGGGAAGTAATCAGCACCACATACATGTGGGGAAGTATCACTGCCTCATTCAGGATACCTGAATGTGCAGCTTCACAGCAAAACAGTATTCAAGGGTGCAGTAAATGTGTAACTCGCTGAATCTGTATGCCAATATAAGTAATTAAATCAGATAATTTACAACAGGGATGAATGAAAAGATTGATTGAAATGAAGTGAGAATATGTTATCAGCAGGAACCAGACTCCATTCATAAATCAGACAATTTACAGACCTTGCTTGTAGGGTACTGCTCAAAGCTGGTAAAACCTGACTAAAGATGATTTATGAAACAGCAGCCATCATGCTATAATTCAGCTTACAGTCAACACCCCAAGCAACAAATGTTTTCATAATGATGCTAATAAGTTTGCCATTACCACAGTATTCTCACACCACACCATAGTGGCCCATAAACCATTACACAATCTTTTATTACAGTGCTTAGATGAGTATCTTCCTCAGTTTAACATCTAGAGTCATAAAACACACAAGGAAACAAACAACAAAGAAGTTTCAAGGCTTCGCATGTAAAGATTTTATTCCTTGGAATGTATTCCACAGTAACACAAACCTCTTGTAGGAATGTGTTATTGCCAATAGAAAACACAGTAATGACACACTTGAACACATCACACAGGCGTCCCACTTGTTCACAGAAATGGCTCGAGGTATTGGCTCGGCAGTGATCATTACGTTCTCCCTCCTGCCAAACGTTCGCTTGTAATTTGCATTTGTGCTTCGAAAGTCACCCGAAAGTCACGCCTGAGCATCAGCAGGATGGCAAGCAGCACGTTTCTGTGATCAGGTTACAGTTTAGTTTCATTCATAATCGAGCTGGATCCATTTGTGCCATTGATACTGAGAAAGAGAGAAATACACATTTCAAGTTAAGCTTAAACAAATACACCTGAATGTAAAATATTTAGCAAGTCTGACACAACAGCAGTGAACGTGACATGGGTCAAAAAAACTAGCAGACCAGGTGTCGTTTCACAAGGCTGATAACCAGCTTCGCATCACGAGAAGCAGAAAAATGTGACTGATAACATGATGGAGGCCTAATTTTAAAACAGAAAAAAAAGGATATGACTTTATTAAAGAGGTGTCAGCTACAAGATGTTACACATTCAAACAGCTTCAAGATTTTCCAAATGTATGGAGGTCCAAAGTGCTCAAAACGATATTAATTTACATTAAATGACTTAACTAAGATAAATTGTGTTTAAACTTTGTAAACTAAATTTTAGTTTACAAAGGAATTTATCTGTAAAGATTTGCAAATGTAATTTTTCATGGCTGTGTCTTGTCTGTCCATCGACACCACCAGGAAAGAGTGATGCAGTTGTAAAACAAGAACATTGTGAATAATATTTTCCCAAATTTTCAGTCAGAATAAACTCTCTTATTAGTAGAAAGAAGCGGGCTAGCTTACAACCGGATGTGTCTTGCCTTTGCTCCAAATCAAAATGAATAGGAATTACCATTTGATTAATACTCCATGCTGATTTCAAACATTTGTTTTTTGTTTTAAATCAACCATATCAATAGTTATTCAGGAAATTACTTAACTCACAATTTTCTTTTTCTATTAATTTGAACTGCTTTGGGCCTCCATAGTGGGCCAGGAATGGCTGTTGATGATATTTCAGAAAAACTGATAACAAAAATGGCTAAAACAGAATAAATCACCTATAACTGCTGAATTTTGATATAAGAGTGGTCATGCCTGGTCTGCTAAGTTTTGTTTGACCTACAGTACAAAACAGTGCTAAAATTAAAGAAACTAACAAAACTGCAAATGCACCTTTTGTATCTCTAATTTAAGCCGCAGCACGATAGTTAAACAGATTTTGGTTGCTTTGTTTTGGTCCTGAGTCACCTTTAGCATTTGGCACCAATCACCCTGTAATTATACATTAATAAAAACTGCACAAAAAATACATTCGCCATTGCTCATCAGCTATTTCTATGAAAAGGCAATTTTTGGAGTTTGTTTAGCAGAGAAATTTCACTAATGACTACGTATAAAAAGATGGAATAAAAACGACTTTAGCACATCGCAGTACAAAAAAAAAAGTGGGTTTTTTTTGTTGTTTTTTTTTAATGCACTTGAGCTGTCATTTAGTTAGTTTCTATCACGGAGATGTTCTTGAATTTCCAAAAGCCCTGGGCAAATAAGAGGTAGTAGACATGTCTTGTGTAAACAATTACTGGAATGGCCGTTTGGTGGCACAGTTGGAGAGCACACACTACCCTTTGTCTCAGAGCTGGACAAGATTTTAAAGCAGTTACACGCACCAAGTAATGAGGTCGTAACTCCCACTACCAAAGGGAGGATTAGCCTAGTGCAGCTTGGTATCAGTCACAAACAATTAGAGAGAGCAAATGAAAAGTGTACAGTAGTTTGCTAAAGCAGCTAAATCTAGTGAGCATGCTGTCCTGTGGGTCATCTCAGGTTATGATAATAAACTGTAGAGAGGCAAGTGAATGCATTAGCACAAAGTATTATATTCCTGATCTGTGGTCAAAATCACTACTTAATTTGTCACATAGAAAGCAAAAAAAACAAAACAATCCTATGCAGACATGCCAGCTGAGTCTGCCGGTGTACTGTTAGGTCAAATCCGATTGGTTATTGCAGTTCAGTTCAAATACTGAGCCTTGTGAAGGAAAGATCCGCAGCTGCTAGAAGGCTGTCCTATCCCAACACCGGCTTCTCATTCTTGGAGCAGGATGACGTCAACGTTGTCGTGGACGCCCTGCAGAAGCAGCTCCCCCTGGAAATCGATCACCTTCTTCTTCTTGGCGGCCTTCAGGGTGCCCACCAGCGCTTCGAAGATGTTGGCACAACGGTCGTCATTAAACAAGACCCCGAACTTTACGCTACATTTACCGTCAGCGTCTGAAATAAGAGATTTAAACGATCGTTACAGCTTCGGGCAGTCAATTAAAATGACTGTAGCGATTTCAATCTCAATTCAATTTCAAAATAAAATGAAACAACCTAATTTTTTACTCCAATTAAAGTACCAAATCATTTCAATTGATCCCCACAATTACAGACATTCATGCCTATTATGTGTATTTGTAAAATAACTAATGGACACACCTGCATTAACTCAGAGTGGTTTGATCCACTGCCGTGTTTATAGAGGCCACCCTCCACAAACGTGGCAGTGCCACCCTGTTTCCAAAAAACCTTGACACACCCCTGCTGCAAATGGCATAACTCTGAGTTTATTTGTTTCCTGCTTTAGAAGTGGTCAGAACCACAAATCAACACTGGATGACTGCATGATTGTTGTTTATTAAAGCTCATGGGATAATATATCAAAGTACTTCAAGGCAAACCATGTCATTCAGCAATATACAATGACAGTTTTGACTTACTTTTACTGCCGAGTCGCTGGATCTCTTGAACCAGCAAATCAATTTCATGGGAGACGTTCATTGTTGCTGCAGGCGAAACAAAATGCAAATAGTTGCATTAGCTTTAAATCTGACGTCACGGTTTTGAGTGCACTAGACATGAAACTAAACAATTAAACCTGTATTGCACAATTCTGACCCAACTTGTCTATTTACTACTGCAGTGCTTTAGATTATTATGGTTGATTTATAACTCTGCTGCCAGGGCGTTTGGCCAGACTACATAAAACTTGGCTGCCTGTCAGCTCCTACATCGATTTTAAAATCTATTTACTTGTTTTTAAAAGCCCCTGATGGTCTTCTTGCTCCAGTATTCATGTCTCACATCCTCAGTGCGTAGGGTGCAGTATGGATGCTACATCCTGTGAGTAGTTCCAAAGTGCACGACAACACAGCTGAGGAAGCAGATTTTTTAACTTTTACACTCTGAGTCACGAAGCAGTCTGCTGTAGAGAAAGAGAGCAGCTGAAGTGTTGAAATCTTTAAACATCTTCAGCCCAGCTTTTGATTGAATATGGTAAACAGACAATTTATTTCTATTTACACTTTCCTCATTTGATCTAATCTGTAGATTTGTTACATTTGATCTACCTTACATTTTTAAATCAATGAGTAGAGCTTATAGATTATTGTGCATTAAAGCACAATGAAGTCTATGCACTGTGATGCATTTTATTTTGTCTAATGTCTTCTATTGTACTTACAGGCCATTTTTTATGTAATTTTAGATCTGTTTTTTTTTTCTTTTTACACGTTGAAAGTCTTACCATTACACATTACCGGTACTTACTTTTTGTCTAATAAACATCCGTGTAGCACTGTAAACAGACATACCTGGTGTCATCTGAACAAAATCTGACTGATTTATTGAGTGATCATCCACCAGTAGAGGAATTTTCTGACTTTGGAAAAACAAGGCTAGATTTAACAGCAAGTGCAGTAATTAAAGTTAAAGAGCTGTATTTCGTCAATAAATATGCGCCAAATTTTCCTTTCTTTTTTTTTTACATTTTAGACAAAAGTCTTAACATTTATTCTAATCATGAAATTGGGATTATCAGAAAGGCGTTTTTTCAATTTTGTTCCTTTTGTGAAGGGTGTTTTGGGAGCTGGGGGACTTTCATTAAAAGAAAACAAACTCAAAGTCCAGTAAACTCATAAATAAATGCAATTTAATTATATATATATCAGACACATATAAAGGCACTCGGTATGAGTACAACATATAAAAGGAGGACTGACTGCAGCAATGCAACAAGCTCCAACACGAGCAGGGCGGACTCATCAATGCGGAAGTAAGGGATTAGCGTTCACGGCTAGCCAAACCTGCTAATAAATACTTCTTGCAGTTGATTTATTTCAGAGATGTGCAGACATTCTCAAGTGCTGAATAATATTAGCAGCTCGGCGATGTTTTACGCGACTTCAGGTGCAAAAGAAAAGACTCCTCTGAGTGGCAGATGTGAGCTCGCCGGTATGATTAGCTTCTAACATCCGACAAATCCTCCGCTGAGAGGGGAGCGAGGAGTTATTCAGACCGATGAACGGTTGGAATAAATGATGGAAAACGATGTAACACAAGCGAATATAACACCGACACAAGGATATGAATTTTACCTGATTACTTGGGCTTGTTTTTGCTTGTAATGAGGTGAGGGACGACTTTCTGATGAATCGGCACCGGTGGAAAATGATGCTGCGTTCAGAGTGCGCTCGGAGAACTCCACCCTTTAGAAATGGAACAACAAAGTGGTGTAAAACGAACGGAGTGAATGTGTTTAATATTCAAAAAATAAGAATATTAAACAGAAGCATGAGATCACTAAGTTATCTTAGTAAGAATATGCATGTAAAGATAATGCAGTGTTAGTGTTTATTTATATAGCACATGTGTGAAGCTCTACAATGTCTCCAGGCAATAAAAATAACAGAACAAAAACTTTACAAACACATAAGATAGAAGTTGTCACACCTGTTTTAAGCCTGTTTTTTTAAGTACACACAGCTGTAATTGACCTGTGGGAGCAATTTAAAGATCTGTACCCGATGTCCTGAGATGTCTTTACCTTAGGATCAAAGTATTCTACAACAAAACACAAGACAACAACAACAACAAAAGTCCCTTCACAATAGAGCCCAACCAATATTTTGTTTTGGGAGCCAACACTAGTACTTAGGTCGTAAACAAATCCAGTAATGGTTTATATTCTAAATGAGGTAATTATTAACTCTAGTTCAAAAGCTAGTTCCCTTGAGGACACTCCTTGTATGCTGTAAAGTCACGAAATGTATGCTATTCCCCACAAACTGCAGTTTACAATGTGTATAATGTTCCCCCCATAAATCAGAAGTACAGAAGCTCTTGTCCAACAAGCCACAAATTTCAGACATTTCCGCGATTAACTAATAATTACCTACTCGTAGTGGAATGCTGTGAAAATGTGCAACTGTTTTCATTTACTGGCTTAATTTGAGTAGATGTGACAAATTCCCTACAACATATGAAGGCAACACGAGCGCTCATCTGACTTCATCGTGACACGCTGCCGATAGTTTGATGGGCTGTGGCCCATATAAGGTATTGAAGAGGCAGGAGACCGCGTGTTGTCCTACGTTTCGGCCTCTCCAAACTATTTCTTGCGTCTCCAAGAAACACACAGGTGCTCAGCGAACACAAGTCCCATTGCAACACAGAAAGAGCTTGTTAGAATAGTGTGCTGACTCCAAATGCTGTTACTTTTTGTTCTGCACATTGAACTCTATTCTTCTCCACCCCATCCCTATACCTCTTATGCATGCACTGCAAATAACAAAGCAGTGACTCCATCATCATAGTGTTTAGAACAATGGAAAATATTACATATGTGAAGGATTACTAACCGAGCAAAGGCATAAAAACTCAGAGGGCCCCAAAAAGTTGCAGTTATTCAACAAGTTTATTAAAAATATGTATCAAAATGCAGTTTAATTAACATGTTCTTTATTTTATTTTATGTTTAAAGAGCACTATACAGAACTAGTGAGAAGCAGATCTTAAAAAGGGTTTTTTTCCCCCAAGTAGCTGACTGTTGCAAATGTGTCACCAAGACGTCAAGACGGTTCCAACAAGAACCAGAGTGAAATAAATAGAAAACAATTTATTGTTTTGTTACATAGTTCCAAGAAACGACTTTATGTGTGAAAACATTTCAAATGGCCACACAACTAATCATTGGAGTTAAATGTCAGAATATCAGACACAAAAAAACAACAACAATGGGCGACTTATTTGCGGGGGGGGGACATGTACATCTGTATAGCCACTGCAGTATCAAGTCGCGTCTCTATCAATTATAAACCATGATATGAGTGCAGCTTTTATTTTGGAAATTACTCATCCGGGTCCCCGAGCCCAAGCAAGCTCGCGCTAACTCGGACGTCGCGAAGTGTCAAGCTATCTCATGAGAAACCTGAACTGAGACCGGAAGTGTATAGAGTGTGACTTCGCTATAAAAGAAAACTTCTATTCCATTTTTAGAAAATGCTTTGAGTGTTTGACACCAGTGACAGAACTTGACAATTAATTATCTCATTTATGATTCACTAGTTAAATTGAAACATTTAATGGAAAATCTGAACAGATGTCATTACATCAGATTTTTTTCTTGTCTTTCTTTAAAAGGCTCCCACATGATAAGACTTAGGGAAAGACTGCTCAATTTAATTGTTACCGATTGTAAAAGTTAAATTGGGCGTTTTCCTTTATAAATACAAAGATGCCACAAACATGAGGCCTCGGGCTTAATGTGGAGCACAGATTTACACAGAAATATGCCACAACTTCTGTCATCCATTTGTGGTTTTATCCTAAACAAAAATAACTGCACAAAATTGCATGTTTTGTTTTAATCATAAATATTTTTACATTTGTTATCTGATTCTAAATACCTAGGGTCAAATATCCCCAAGTTTTTTGCAATTGTTACACTTACATGTTTCAGATTAATAAACTATTGTTAATGTCGCACAAAGATAACCTGAGTAAAAATAAAATGCAGTTTTAACATAAATATTTCATTTTTTTTCCATTCAAAAAGTAATTGCCCCTTAACTTAATAACTGGTTGTGCCACCCTTGGCAGCAAGAACTGCAATCCAAAGTTCGTCATAACTGGCAATGAGGCTTTCACGCCTCTGTGGAGGAATTTTGATCAACTGTTTTGTGCTTGTGTTATAATTCAGCCACACTGAAGGGTTTTTGAGGATTAATGGCCTTTTTAAGGTCATGCCAAAGAATCCCAATCTCAAGTTTAAGTCTGGGCTTTGAGTAGGGCACACCAAAACCCTCATTTTTTTTAATCCATTCAGAAGCAGACTTGCTCAATTGTTTTGGATCATTATCCTGCTGCATAACCCAAGAACTGAACAAACTGATGGTTGGACAATCTCCTTCAGGATTTTTTGGTAAAGAGCAGAATTCCATCACTTACAGTTTGCAGTGTATATTTACTCCTGTTATATTTGTCTAACAAAATGTGTGTGTTGATGTGAAACATTTAAGTTAAGTGTGACAAGGAAGGAGGCAAATACCTTTTCTCATCAACTGGTTGTAACAGGTTTATAAAGAAATAGAAAATAAAAGGGGACTTCAAAAAAGTTCAATTACAGTGAAAATTGTAAAATCAAAATACAGTTCTTATATTCTTTCAAAGGCCTAAAAATGTTGGTACTTTAATGGCAAAATAATAATTTAACTTAAATCACTATGAAAATATTAAAATAGTTGAACTGCAGGTGAAGTGAATACAAAAGTTGTCAAGTGTATAGTTATATGTAGTTTACTCTTCCAGCACAAAATGATATTTTATAAAAAATAACATAAAAAATAATACATGTATACAATCTATAAAACTAGATGCTTCTGAGTGAACGCTATGTTTTTCTTTAATCTGAAGACTCGGACCGGAAGTCTCCTCTTAACTCCGCGTGACTTGACACTGGTGGCAGGAATGGCGGCTATGATCACTGGAGGAAGGAACCAAGAGACCCTGAAACTTTACTTCTGACGGCCCCGCAGAGGAATGTGTTTCTAGTGAAGGGCAGAAACACCCTCCTGTAACGGATTACAGCGAGAAGAAGTGCTGTAACGTGAGATCACGGCGGTAGATGTCCGGGTCGGGGAGGTAGACGCACTTTGCTAGTTAGCCTAACGTTAGTGCCACTGACTTTGATTCAAGGTAGCTGTTAGCCCGCTGCACTACTAGCCAGCTGTTGGCTACTTGGCTTGGCTGGCCCAACAAGTTATTAACTGTGTGAAAGCAACCTTTATTTGAATATTCGAGTTGGGATCGGCTCCTGCTTGGTACACAGTATTAGGGACGTTTACAGAGATTGGGATAAGGCGCGTTGGGAACATCATTACAACAGCTAACCTCAACGTTAGCTCGGCTTAGCTAAGTTGGGATCCTGAAGTCTCGCCCATTTTTTGGATCCTGCCCCAGCCATTGGCTAAGGGCTAATCAACAGCCAACTTGTGTTCTTTTCAGGCTCATTTGGTACTACGATGGAAAGTCTAACGCTGAGTGATGTCGAGCAGAAATATTACTCGGATTTGTTCGTTTACTGTGACACGGACAACACTAAAAAAGTGGCTTCCAACGGGAGAGTTCTTGACCTTTTCCGGGCGGCCCAGCTACCCAGCGAAGTTGTCCTGCAGGTAAGCTAGCGTAACCGTGTTATCATTCAGACTGTGAAGGTGTGCGTGAAACGAAGGGCCATTGGGGGATTTTTGGTAAACTTGGCTGGCAGGCTGACTGTTGGAGCTGTCCTGTCAGCCAGTGTCGTTGTGGTTATTTAGCCCGGGTGCTTAGCAGAGCTGCGCAGCAAGAGAGACACACCTTCTTCTGGCTAATGTTAGCCTTAGCTAAACAGAGTAGGTAGACAACTCACACAATTTATTTCTTTATTGAGTTTTTTTTTCTCTAACTGACATATTATACATGCAATAAAAGCTGGCATGCCCTCTTCAGTTACCTTTCTGTGGGTATGTGTTGAACTGTGTATCTAACGCACTAAATACTTCTCATTGCTCTTGCTGCCCACTCTTTCCTGTCTTCTCCCTCCATCAACATCTGCCTTTTTTGTTCATTACTGGCTAACATGGTGGAAATGCCTGTGCCTGCACGCCTGTGATCCACAGAAGTGGAGACTTTGTTTATTAACCCTCAAATACGGATTGCCTTCTTGGTCAGATTGCAGAGTGTCCCTGCTCTGACAACTGTGAGTCATGAGTAGCCAGTTAAACTGCAGCAGCCCATTCTTGTGACTCCAGATCTCTCAGCATGGCCAATATTTGCAGTTTGTGAGTCAGCATCCTTTTCAAGGTCAAGAGGGGAGGGGGGGGGGGGGGGGCTGTGTGGTGGGAGAATTAAGGAGCGTTGTAATCCTACCACTTCCAGAATCTACACTGAGCTCTGTGTTGGCCCGTGAGACACATACTGCTACAGTGTCATGTTGTAACAGGCTGAGAAAAGTCACTGCTGCTTTGTATCCAGTCATACTTGGATAAAGTCCCTCATCGGCAAGAAAAGGATCGCTGGTCAGCTGTGGCAGTTTTTTTTTTTTTGAGTGACTCGCAGCACTTAAGGGCACCCTCTTAAACAGTTATCCTCATGTTATAAAATCTTACCAGTAGTACTAATCCTGAGGTTTCAGTTGTTTCTTTTAACCAC